ATTGTATTTGTATTTGACCTTTTTTATTAATTCAGTGGTGCAAGTACTACATAATAGTAGTAACAGTAGTACTTGAATAAAAGTATTGATGCTCATAGTCAAATCATACTCGACAACAAGTAAAGGTTACCCGGTTAAAAATCTACTCCAGGTCAAGTATCGAAGGACTCACTTTTGAAAATACTTAAGAATTTAAAAGTATGTGCATTGAAAAGTACTCAAGTATTCAAAAATACTAATTAAATGTTCTAACATTAGTACATTTCTATCTAATTTTCAGAGTAATTTTAAAAGAACCTTGTAACTTTATTGTAACACTGTCAAAAATCAATTTGACAATATATTGTGATTTTTGGCTGCCTGATATAATATCGATCTTTTAGGTACTAATATAGATTTTAAAAATTAAAACATTTTAACCAAAAACAATGTGGGAAAATGGGTTACCTATGCACCGCCACTCTGGTAGATGGCGCTGTGGAGTCCTTTTGCTGTGCAGTGCAGAGCCAAAGCTGTAGTTCAGGCAGTCATGAATCAAACCCCCAACATCATGGATGCCAAAATAACTAAACAATCACTATTTTCTGATAAACATTTACAGCAAAAGTTTGCTTTTTTTCTATACATTTGATTTGATAGCTGGGAAATGTATTGCAGTATATAGTGATATTGCAATATCATGATATATCGTATTGTAACCTAGGTAACGTGACACGTATCGTATCACAACACCAATGCCAATACTCACGCCTAGTCAGGACAGAAGCTTGGAGTGTATAGCCTGATTTTATCGTTGTGAAATCGCTGTGAACTTGGTTTAAGTGTTATTTGGTGACAAATCTGACCCTCTTAATTTACAAAGGCTTTTTTTGGAAGAATAGTCTATATGGAGCACTGATCTTCACTAAGCATATTGACCTGAAAAAGTTATTTAACATATCTCAAATTAAGCTAATACTTGGGTCAAAAGTTATGCTGTGTTGCTTTAAATGGGAACTAAAGAATCAGGTCTGTTGTTTATTTGGGCTGCAATAGAGAGCAAGACTCTGATCAGATAACAGAAAGGCTGAACAGAGCACAAACATGCTGGATTTCGAAATGTTTGCAATCTTTTGGAAACCCTACTTTATCTACATTCCCTAGGAGTAAACAAAAATAATATAAAAGAGTAATTCTAACCATGCTGACCACTCTAGACATGCACCATTTTACTCTGCCTGTGGAAGCAAAACATTTAAAGCATGGTGCATATTGACCTAACAGAAAGCGACAGATGATAAAATTATCTTTTTTAAAGCAGTGGTTCATCAGCTGCAGCTCTCACCAAAATCTTGCGCTTATTAATATACATTGCAAAGATTCAGTGAATGAAACGTCCTATTTTAAGCTGTGAATGGACTAGGCGACAGATTATGCAATGACTTTTGATATATTGCTTTGTGGTTTGGAAATGCGTTCGATTAATGTGCTGCTGTTTTGTTTTTACTGGAAGAATAAAATACTGAGAACAGATCTTTATTTATCAGACACATCTCAGTGGGTTTGTTTTGTGTTTAGGCTTACAGAGGGAAAAAAAACTATGGTGGTAAACCTTTGGGTACTTAAAGTAAAAATCAGATTAAAGATGGTTTGATAATGATGGCAGTGAGGGACGCAGTATGAGGACATCCTCATGAACCTTTTATAAGGGAATGAATGCAGCAGACGAGCGCTGAATAAGGGGCAGGGCGAAATAAAAAGCACAGGAACAAAAAGACTTATGAATACAAAGTACTACCTAAAAAAACCCTTCATGTTCCCCTAGTCATGCATACAGAACTACTGCACTCGTACAAGCTCAGACCTGCAGCGTCAGGGTGTGTATGTGTGTGTGTGAGCTCTTTAAACTTCATAAGTAGGAAGACAGACAGGACTGGTTCTCGGCTCTTTTCATTTCACGTTTTCCCAGAGTGACACAACAAAAAGGAGGAGAAAACAGAAAGCTGGATCACAGTAAAAATATCTTTAAAAAAAAAAATCTGTAGCAGCTGATTTTATTTTCCTGGCTGTGTCACGGAAAGCACAGAAAAACAAGAGCGGCTGCTGCTTTTGGAACAATCGTTCCTTTTAAAAAGATTAAAGATTTCATTGGGATTATGGAGATTTTCTAAAAAACATTTTACAGTCAGGCTCACTACTGTAATGGTTTAGAATGCCTTAACTTTAACTGAGTTGCTTTTTGAGACCTTTTCTTCAGATAAAGACACCAATTTGAACAACGTTGGCTCTTATTAGACTCAGTGTGTACATGTTGCAGCACTGAAACATGATATCAAACAGCAGCACTGGTGCTACAATCTGGATTTTGCTCCCAACACTAATTTGTGGCTTCCACATTTTATCACTTTATGGCCACAAACTTTAATTTTCAATCATGTTATGGAACAGGGGTTACAAATTGGAGACGCTTTTTCACAATCACTGTGTCTTTATAACCACCACTGTCCCTAACAACGTCAATAAAGTTTTACATTCATGCTGATTTTTGCAGTTTCTGTCTCAGCACACATCTGTTGCTGCTGTTTTAAAATATCCATTACTGTAAAAATGTCCACTACTGTTTATTGATTATTTACTCTCCAGATACAGAGCATTTATACTGTAAACACTGTACAGGGCAGTACTTATTTGTTTATTTTCTTAACTCTGTCACTTATTCTGTTATTTTTATAAACATTCTAAGGTCCACACTGTGTGAGGACTTTTGCTATAACCTTTTGCTGCTGTAAGACCACAATTACCCCATTGTGGGACAACAAAGGGATTTTCTATTCTATTTTATTATGATTCCTGAGGTATATTGAGAACCAAAATATATGATGAAATAGATAAATGTAATTGTAAAGTGAAATAGGTAGATTTATTTATAACTCTGTTAATTTGTTACCTTTTTTTTAACTATGTTTATGTAAAGGTGTATGCCTTCACTCACCTGGTAAGATATTCAAGAGTTGAATGGAAACTATCCGATATTGAACATAACAGTGTCTGATTTGATCATAAATATTGGGTCGCTGCATCTCTACTTATATTGCTTTTTCTTCCTGGATTTACGTGATAGAAATTACACAATGAAAACAAATGTTACACAAGTCTCAACTTCAAAAAAAGGAAACACTTTTTAACAACTCAAACTAAACATTAACAATTGATGGCAAATGGTGGGAGCGGCGAACAGATGCGCTTCAAGGCATGGCTGCTCAAAAGGCATGAACATATTGCCCGATACTGATAAAAGTGCAAATATCAGACAAAATTATTGTTCGGCTGATCTTAAGTCGCATGCTGAAATACTTAAGAAATAAAAACAAATTTAAAAAAAAGCAATCCCACAGCATGATACTGGCTCTACCATGCTTCACGATAAAGGTAGTGAATCCGGCTGATGAACAGTGTTACTTTTCCACCACACACTTCGTAAATATCTCCTTATCTGGTGTTTTTTTGATCTGATGAATTGACCTTAGCTAACAATTTAACCCTGATCTGTCTGGAATGTTCATCTTTCTTCATGAAACTTTTCTTGCTGCCATGTTCTTCAATAAACCTCTAACAACTGAAGAATTTACTAGATTTTATCCAAGATTTTTTATTTGTAAAATCTTTGAAAACCATTATCTATTTCTCTTGCTGTTCGAATAATGCTCTTCTATGTGAAAAAAGTTACATTTGCAGGCTACTGTTGCGTTATAAAGTGGGTATTAGACAAAAAAAAGAGCTGGCATACGTAAACTACCAGACTTTCGAAAAAGTCTCATTATGTCAGAGAAAAATAAATCAAGTCAAAATTTAACATAATATTTTGATGAAATGATTGACATTTATTACAATTTTGACTTATTTGCAGCCTCATTAACATTGGTCATTAATTTCATTGTAACTATGGTATTGTACATGCTCCTGTGATCTAGTGAAACACCCACATCGGTTTCCTTTGGCTTTCGTGGAATTTTCCAAATACCTTTTTCTCAAGAACATGGGAAAGTACAGCAGCAGAGGAGAAACAAGGAAGCGTCTGGATGGGTTCTGCTTCTTTTCCTGAACTTCTGTCTGAGTCATCCTTCAACACTTCAGTGAGATTTGAGCAGCAGATTGGACATTTGTTTATTCAGATTTAATTTACTCTTAAAAAAGTCTGTATTCACACAAATATGTAAGCAGAGTGCACAGAAAAGGAAAGTGGAAACAACTGCTGAGGATCAAGAGAGCAAACTGGCAGCAGAAATAAAAGATCAGGGAGAAATATTACAAAGCAGTGTGATCTGCAAGTCTTTTTACAGGGAAACTTGAGGAAAGTGCATGGTGTCCCACGTTATCCCCCCAATGGATCCTACAGCAGGACGGTCTTGGACCGGTAGAGCTGGACATCTGGCAGGTATATTGGCTCCATTCCTGCTGCCTCTTTGTAAGCCTGGCCACCATGCTGCAATTTCTGCAGCCTATAGTGACACAGTTTATAACTGCACCCAACACCATATATATATATGCTGCAACCATCTCCCACATCTGTATCTGCTCACGCTGTCACAATGAATGAGTCCCACCAGATTAACCTACTAGACACAATCTCTAGCAAAATCAATTTTAATTAGATTTTATATTTAAGCATCATTGGATCCCCTCTGTCTGCCCTTCTTCTGATAAATACTGAGCTCATTAACTCATTCAAACAACAGACAATGGATAAAATCGAAGCCTTAAAGGCATTCCACTAAAGAACATGATGCTTTTTTTTTCTTATAAGAAATGCTCATCCAAGGCCTGAAAATCAGATGAATAACATGCATAAAAAGGCAGAGGGACAGAGGAAAACGCCATCTTATTGATGCACATGTGGTCATCCTTTCATTCTCCTTGTTGAATGCACAAACAAGCGCGATTGATTTTTAATCAAAGCAACAAAAAAAGGTGTGCCATTTTACGCTCACCGCCGTGATGTACCCTGTGATCAGGAGCCTTACCTGAATCTGGGCGAATCTTTTATACATTCTTCAAAGTCCACCGTCATTTTTACTGTTGTGATGTTGTATTTCCACTTCAATCTGCAAATGTCATTGCCCGCGGAGGGATGTGGCTCTGACCGTAAAGGATGGTGACGGGTATATCCCCCTGACGCGCAGCAGCAGCAGCAGCAGCAGTGTGTCACCTCTCTCCCGGTGGCACCGTGACACAAAATGCGAGGCTGAGCGCGGCGCGGCGTAGGCGGAGATAATACTACCACATTCCTGCTGCTGCCGCTGCCCAGGAGGGAAGGAGGCGTAGCTGCAAAACCAGAGCCTGAAAAAGGGGGAAGAGCGCCCAACAAATACAGCGCACCATAACAGGAAGGTGGAACGTTTGACAATAATAATAATAATAATAATAATAATAATAATAATAATAATAATAATAATAATAATAATAATAGCAATAATAACAACAATAATTGTAATAATAGTAGTAATAATAATAATAAGAAATAATTGTATTAAATAAAAATAATATTAATAGTAATAATAAACAATAGTAATAGATAATAATAATTATAACAATAACAATAATTATAATAAATAATAATAGTTATAATAACAACAACAATAGTAATAACAATAATTGTAATAATAAAAAAATAAATAATAGTACTAAATAATAATAATAATAATAATAAATTATAAATGAATAATAATAGGAAGAAGAAGAAAAATAGTGATGATGAATAAGAAATAATAAAAAATATCACACGTTTACATTACAATAATCATAATGCCCTTTTTCTGCACTAATTTATCAGCTTTTAATGTTTCTGCATCTTAAACATTATATACAATCCTATACTCAACAATTGCATGAATAAAATCCCCTCTAAATTGATCAAAATAAATGAATTTGAAATCTTTCGTCTCACAAGACTGTTTTGAAGGAGTCGCTTTGGTTACTTTTGGGTGACATATCTCTCACGTTATGCTCTCTGGTCTCACAATGAAGGGTGAGTTGATACGCCCATACGCCCCTGCTCCTTTATTATGACGTAATAAATGAGCGACCGACAGGAGTGTTGTAACGGAGAAGCATTTGTTTTTATTTACCTCGGGGTAGTTTTATGCTTTTGTTTAGAGTGAGGTTAGATTTAAATAGGTTTGGCTACTATATATACATTCATTTTGGATTACGTGCTGAAACCCCGATGTAAAAGCTTTAAATGTTACGCTATCCCTTCGCAGCTAGCCGAGATGTTAGCATGTAGTTCTATATATGGCCATTATTACTGCTATAGAGTTTTCATGTGACACGAACCGTTCTCTCATGTATTTTACTAACCTAATTGTTTGAATCTTTCATATACCTAACCGCGTCTTTTAAGTTATTCCCTTCAAAGGGGCTGTAAGCGACACGGGAAAAGTACTTCCGGACTACAAATACGGTTCTGACACATTTCTAGCAAACCGCGTGTGCGCCTAAGCAGAAGTCAGTCCTTACTTTGTGCTTGTAAAGATTACAATGTTCACAAAAGAGTAAGTGCGTGTTTACTGCATCGCCTCACGTTTAATAACAAGTAGTAAATTATGAACTAAGATTTCTAAAGACACAATGCAAAACTTGGCACGTTATCTCATCTTTTTTCAGTACATTGGGACAAAATACAGGTAAGTGTTTGCAGTGTAACTGGTCAGTTATTCACTACGGCTTTTTAATCATTTAATTTTTTTCAGAGGTGTTGTAAAAGTCCCTTCAAGTCAGCTGGGTAAGAAAGGGGTTCAGGATCACTTGGAGGTAATTTTATTTATTTGTTTTTTTACTCTATCAAGTACTTTAAAAACATGATAAGTGCTGTGTTACAAAACAAACATAAGACCTCAACACAGGCTAGAAAATAAAAAGGCTCACAAACAATTAAGGGCAGGAAAAGTAAATGAGAATAGGTCACACAAAGTCGAAAAGAGTGAGGATGTGTTTTTCTAATGAGGTTAAACAACAAGAAATGGAGAGATCTTCCTAAATCCCTAAGCACTGCAGTTAACATGATTGTAATATGTACTTAGTTTTAACAGCAAGGGTTGATTTTTCAGGGTTTTTTTAAGGAAGTAAGAGAAAAATTAAGATGATTATGATTTTTTGTTTCAAACTTGTGCATGTTGGCCTACACTGTGATAATAAATATATATTTTTTAGACTTAGACTCAACTTTATTTATACCTTGGGAAAACTCCTTCAGGGAAAGATTGGTTCCAGTAGCTTATAAATGCTACAACGAGTTAAAGTATGCATTAAATATAAAAAAATAGGACAGGCCATATACAAAGAGTGTCTATGGTACAAAAAAGCATAAAAACGAAAAACGTTGTAATATCTAGGAATATGTTTCCCTTAGATAAAAAAAAAAATAAAATAAAATCTGCACCGTAGAGAGTTAAGGAAAGACCACACAGTAGTTGCCATAACCTGGGTTATGGCACTTGCACTGCAGAGATGTACTGACCTTATAAAATAAGTTGAAAAATTACACAGGCTACACAGTAGTTGGAATAGAGAAAGGAGAAGAATATTGAACACGAATGACAATAGGTAACGTTTTGCATAATATGTCCAAGGAGGGGGGTGCTGACCCTCGTCCCTCTTCCTGTTTTGTCAAAATTTTAGATTTTTGCTGGATTTGTACTTATTTTCTGTTTATTCCTTGTAGCTGAACATTGCAGATTAATAAGCAGAACATCCTTAATAAACAAGCAAAGGGAAAAAAGAAGAGCCAGACATAAAATGTCTGATCTTTTTGTATTTTTTTTCTGACTGCATCCAGGAAGCAATTCATAGACTCAGGCCAAACAATGCGGTGTCTCTGTCGGTGTCCAGCAGGACAGATACGGGCGTCCATGCCCTTTCCAACTCCGCTCACTTCGATCTCGTGCGGAAAAACGACAAGCCTCCGTTTACTGAGGATGTTTTGGTTCAAGCTCTCAATTTCCACCTAAAGGCTGAGGATATCAGGTGAGTCAGGCTTCATGGGAAGAGTTGTGAACTTAAAACTGTTAAGTGCTGAAGGTTAGCACAACATCCAATGAAAATTGAATTGAATGTGATTTTTTTCAACCTTTCTTTTTTCATTAAATATCTATTTGGACTCACCTTCTTTGATCTCAACTTGGAGCATGCTTTCTCATCACAATCCTTGATTCTGTTAGTGTAATAAGTGTGCAAATAAATGCAAAACGGATAACCAAAAAACAAAACGATTTGACAATATCTAAGGTTGTTTTAGGTATCACTCTCTTAATAATCTCTAATAATCTCTAAGTAATCTAGAAATCTAAACTTAAAAATAGCAAAAATATGCAATTGCATTGTTTTTAGTATTGATACTATGCCAGATTAGTTTAGTTTTTTGGATACAGCATTTGAGTATTAATACTTTTCAGATTATCAACACTTTGGACAAGCCTAAAAGCAATTGTACGTAACTTTTGACCCAAGTATTACCTTAAATTGAGATATATTTAATTATATTTTTAAGTCAATATACAAAGCACTTGGTGGGTATCGATGCTACCAACTCCCCTATGTAGCTTTATTGGATCTGTCAATTAACAAGTTATGTGACCCAGAGCGCTGCTTTACGGCAGTCTTAGCTCCCCTTAGATACGAGAGCTAACCAAGCCAAAGGTTCGTTGTTAGGCAACAGATCTGACCCTTATCTAAAGGCCCTGTCACACTTTGACGATTTAGACCAGCGTATGCCTGACGTACGAAAAATCTGGCCAAAACGCTGGCATATGTTGGATAAGTTACGGCTACGTTTTGTATTGGGTATGTGCATGCTGAAACATTCTGGCACATGTCGACATACGTACGTACATTGAGAAATATGCAGCCTATGCTCATATGTGCGGTATAAGTTACGGGTAAGTTATTTGATCGTTGACATTCGTTAAGTGTAAGTTACTCATAAGTTGTGGTGTCTTATCTAGGCTCTTATCCAAAACCTATGTGTAACTTAGGTTATAAAAGGGGGTTCACAGGAGGAAACCTTCTGTACTCCTGCAGATTTCATCCCGATCATAGGGTGAGCAAGAAGGTGATTGTGACGGATCCTCCCTGAGTTCAATCCCACGGCCATGGCCAACAAACTTCCTAGCAGACATGATGCTGAATCTGCTGCGACTGTAAACCCTCTTTCTTTTTCTTTTGTCTTTTTATTTACTCTTTTTTTGTTTTGGCCGGGAGTAAACAACAGCTAGGTTAATATCGTGATCAAAGAAATCTTTTTCTGCAGGCCAGGGGCCTCTGGGCGCATCGCTGCCCCCCTCAGGACACTGGTTTGTAACATTTAATGGGCTTTACGCTGCGGTGCGTTATGTATAAGTTAGGCTGGACATACACTCTGGACTCGTTATGAATACTCTGTGTGTACACCCAAAATTGAAAAAAAAAAAACTACTTAGAAATTTCAGCATATGCGAGTGATTTAGAAGATTCTGGGGCGTCACGTCAGGCATACGCTGGCTAAATCGGCAAGGTGTGACAGGGCCCTAATCAGACGTATTTCTGTTTTTCTTTAAGAATGACTTAACCTATAGAGTTGAATAAGGCCTTGTCTTTACAGCTGCCTCCATGCCGTCTCAATCTGCTGGGCCAAAGTGTTCTGCTCGCGAATAAAAAAAAACAGAGGAAGGTTGTTTTTTATTTTGCGACAATGCAGATTTCCCAATAGCTTTTGGGGTCACTAAACCTGGAAGTTGCAATTGAAGTGCCCCCTAGTAAATGAAAATTGCAGTGTTGCTTTACGGCATCCAGGATTAGTTGTAAGAACAGGCTCTATTAGAGGAATATATGTGTTTTAAATTGTAAATACAATAAGAGAAGAAAATACTGTAAGCTGTTTATTTTTAATAAATTTATGAAAAGTATTGTCACACCTACATTAGCATCTTTCTTGCACTGCAATGCATTCTGGGTAAATGATGTATGGTATGTACTGTTACCAAAACAGCAATAAGTAACATTAAACCTTTCAGTTTGATCTAGAGAGTGTTGAAATGGATGTGGAATTAGAAATCACAAGAATTGATGAAGATGAGGAGGACCAGACATGGAGAAGGGAGAATTAACCTAGGAAGATGTTGTTTGCGGGGCTTCTGCTTGGAGATGCTAACCTTGATGGAGAGCCATGGTACAATATCAAAAATGAACCTGATTGGCTTTTAAAGGCTGTTCTGTGTCACTTAAAAAAATATTGTCCCTTTTTTCTTTCCTCGTCCTTCTGATTCCAAATTTTTTATCTAGATGTCCTCAACGCACGTCTGTTCTTCCAACTTATTTTTAAAATTTTAATTAGTAAAAAGAAAACATGCAAACAGACCAAAAGAAGAAACAAAACAATATCTGAAGGTTCAGATATTAACAATTAAAGGAAAGTCTGGAAGGATCAGTCCTCCTGTGAGTGAGGACAGATGGTGAGAAACATAAAATGGCAAACACACAGAGAAGTGAAGAAGAAAGGGAAGCTCCCTACATACTGCTAATCCTTAAACCTGTAGAGAGAAGGTTGAAAAGGATTATCCCAGCTCTGCTGTTAGGTCTGTGCCATCCATTAACAAACACACACACTTTCACACTCTTACAGGGATCCTTTCATCTCGCTTAATGGCTTTAGTTTCAGTAGATGCATGACTAAGTCAGCAGCATGTGTACATTTTTCTTTTTTATCACTTTAAAAAAAAAAAGCTTAAACAGTCTCTCACCATCCTTATCTGTTTTTGAAACAGAGGGAGCCTGTAGCAGAGGTAAAGACATTTTGCCACTAAAACCACCTGAAAGAAGCTCCTGGCTCTCAGCAGTGGTCTACCGCCTCCAGGGATGGAGAGCCAAGATAAGAATAAAAACATAGACTGCACACTTAAAAAAAATTTCCTTACAAAATAGGCTACATTAAGACACAGATCAATAGCTGTTTTCTTATAAAAGGAAACTGCTGGTGAGGAGAATGGTGCCACACCAAACAATGCCCCATTTCCCCAAATTGTGTGCGGCCCTTTGTGCATTTCCTATTAAAATTTGATGTGGGTTTGTAGTCATGGAGCCGAGCGAAAGCTGTCACTTCACATCGAAGGTGCCGGTGGAGGCATTCGCAAGGGTTTCCTCTGTCGTGTGTCACGCTCAATCTCTTCCCTGGGTAACGTAACCTAGTTTCCCAGATTCTGCATGCACACACACATAAATGTACGTCTCTTATTGCCATTGCTCTCATACCTTTATGTGCATGAATATTATCTGATGTGACTTCGACGCATCATCTCCCATATCTTCTTGCTCCCACCGAATACTTCCACAGTCAGGATAAATACAGACACAAATCTGTGTGAACAAACTGTAAAGGGTGTTGACATGTCACATTCAATCACAGTTGACTTTAGCTTTATGAGGTTCATGATTTACCCTGAAGGATACCCCTTTAGCTCTATTAGTGGTGGACTCTATTAAATCTATCTGAAATGCACCCAAATCATTTTTTGCTAATTTCCTTTCTCTAGCTGAAACTCATTTCATGTTTTGTATTATTGAAGAATTTCTTTTATTGAAACATTACCAAAAAAGAAAATAAAGTATCAAGAAATTACAAGATTATATTTCGGCAGATGAATTTGGGGAAATTTTCTTTTTTTGTAGATTGGTGAGTTTAAACTGGTTTATGACCAGTTTTGCAATACTGAGTTTGAGCACCCTTTCATCTATAACCAACCTGTCGGAAACTCAAAAATCCAACTTTTTTTATTGGTCAGGGCAAGAGAGCTACCTTAAAGGAATAGTACACCCAAAACATGATTAGCCTTCATTTTCTACTCACCCCATGCTGAACAACACTCTGGAGTACTTTTTTGATATCTCAAAGGCATCTGGAGATCTGGGAGGCTTCTTGCTGTCTGCTGACATTCAAATAATGGAGGTCCATGACGCCCGAG